GCTCAGAAAAGTGTGAGAAGTTTACCAACACCTCTGAAATGGCTGTGTCCCTTGCTTGGTCACAGCTGCCCCTAGCCCTTCACTGCCCTCGACACAGAGTGTGCAGCTGTCCTGGGACCTTTCCCACAGGTCCCTCTGCATCCTGATCCGTCCGTAAGTCTCTCTCGGGCACTCTGTCTCCCGGGTCCTGCTGAGTAACCGTAACACGGGATGCACGCAGGTGGAAGAGCCGTTGTAGGCATTAAATTCAATTTAGTATCTTTTACCTTAAATTTTAACAAGATGATTTTAATGCGTGTATTTCTACACTCCCTCTGCTCTCAGGCATCTGAATTAAATTGCCTTTTACATCTTTTGGCTCAGGCCTAATGTCCCCCTTCCGTGGCCCACTGGGGAGCCCCTGATCTGCTTCAGGAGAAAGTCATCAGCCAGACGCAGCTGGCTGTGTAGACAGACGTGTGTAGGAAGAAGGGGTTGGGAGGGAAGTAGAGGCAGGAAGGGATGGGCTCTCTGGGCCCGGGACACCCCTGGAAGTTTTGGGGGTGAAGGAGACACTGAGGAGTTTCCACGAGAAGGAGCCCAGGGCTCCCCACTGGGACTGCCATCTGCATAATCACCCTGCTTCTGGCCCTGCAGTGTCTTTTGGTTTTGTTTTCAGGGTTTTTTTTTTTTTTTTTTTTCCCCTTTTGGTTTCCTGTTTGAATTATTTCAGCTTTGGTACATTTTAGAGAATGGAAAAAATTCTAAGTAGAATTTTACCGCAAAAAAGTGGCTTTCTCTCTCTTTTTTTTTTTTCACTTCTAGTCCTGGTCTCTATCTGCCATATATAGTTTGAGTGGTGGCAGATGAGATTTGACTTTCAGATAGCCGCCTTGTTGACTTCGGGAGACTCTGGTGCCATTCCTCCAGGGCATCTGAGCAACTTAAGTGCTGGTTCTTTTGACTGTGTGGGTTGGGGTCTCTCGCATGTCTTCGCGCTGAAGAATGGGGGGTGGGGAGCAGTGAGACCTAGTTAATCCACTTTCCAATAGGACAGATGTGCACGGTGGCCTCATTTCAGCCACCACCCAAGTGGTCCATTCCAAACGTACTAAAATGAAATTTTGTTTTTTCTCTCTTGACTAACATGGGTGAGGACCAAATCCATAATTCTGGCAGGAGAGGCTTCATTGCCAAACCCGGCCCCCCACCCCCCCCCGCCACTCCCATGTTGCTTGTCCTTGTCCTCGACCCTCTTTGTATATCTTTTCCCGCTGGTTGCCGGGGTCAGCATCGCCCCAGCGACAGGGGAGGGGAGGCTGGGCGGGTCACTGCTGAATCCTCCCTGGTGGACTGGCGGATGGGGGACCCAGTGAAGGTCCTGACATGGGAAATTTTATCCCCTCTCTGCTGTATTTGGGGAAATGAGATTTGACTCATGAGATCATCCAAGACGCGATGATGAGTTTTCCGCAAGGCACCTCATTTGTGGTGTTCTCGTCTATGGCTGTTTTTTTGAGTTATATATAATCCAGTTAGTGACACGTGGGGGGAGGCGGGGAGATGGATTTTAAGTCTGTTTTTTAAGAGTCTTAATTCCACTTGCTGTAGCAAAGCCGATTTGAAGATTGACTCAAGGGCATACTTCATAGGTAGGAGAGCCAAGGGATTGGGCCTGCCGCTCGGGCTCCACATTGCCCTGGCTTTGAATCTCAGCTTTACCGCTTACGTTTCAATCTTTCTCTCCTGTGCGGCTTCCTCATCTGCAAAAGAAGGGTGGTTGGACTAATAGCAATAAAAATAATAATGAACATGGACTTGGAGACTCAGGGTTTGCCAGATGGCATGCTCAGCGCTTCCCTAACATTTCCACCCCCCCCCAACGGCTCCCGAGGCAGAACCTGCTCCATCCCCCATGTTACTCCGTGGGAACTGGCGTGCGGTCAGCACTCCGTGGGTGCCAGGCAATGTTGCCATCCCCAGGCTGAGAAACAGAAGCTTAGGGAGGTGAAGTCACCAGGGCATGAGCAGGGCTGGGTTGGGGCCCTGGGTGGAGGAACGTCTTCAGGTGCATGAGGGAATGAATTCCTATGAAGCATATAGCATGGCTCTGGCAGATAGCCACACTCAAACTGTAGCTGTTTTAGCGACCAATGAAGCCATACACTTTCCTACTAAAGCACTGCACTTCCTCTCCTTAGATGAAGAAACCCCACTTCTCGTAATGTCATCGTATCTCGTATGAACCCCTCAGGGTTGTCTATGAGCTGCAGCTGCTGCTGTGGGACTTCTGGGGTCCCGCCCCCAGGTTGCTCCCTGGTGCCCACACCAGCCCCCATGATTATGCTCCCGGGCCCTTGTTGGGTTAAGCCACTTGACCAAAAACTGTACCAGTTAGGTAGAGGGAGGCCAGGAGTGTAAGCTTGTATTCCAGGTTTGCACGCGAGAGGCATACTGAGCCCTCATGTGTTTGTTTGTTTTCTGATAAGTTGATCCTATCTCCCCTTCTTGGGTTGGAGGCGGGGTTTAATTTCAGGGTAAAGGCAGTAGGGCCAGGGAAGTGTGTTGTACATGTGGGGTGGGGTGTCAGATGAGCCATAATCTGTAGAGGACCCCTTGGAGGCCCCAGGCAGCTGCCAGAGAGGCTCATGCTCAGGAGAAGGTGCTGGTTTAGGGGGTCTCAAATCAAGTGCCCCAAGGGGCCTGCCAGGAACTCAAAGGATGCCAGGGGTTGGTTAGAGTCTGGGACAAATGAGAGCAGGGTGCCCCATGGAGGAGGCAGCAGCCAGACCCCACCTCAGTGACTTCAAGCCCTCCAAGTCCACACAAAAATGAGCACCAGCCAGTGGGAAATGGGCAGATGCTCTACAAGTCTCTTCCTGGAAGAAGAAATGTGAATGTGTTCCTACAGAAATGCAGACGATAGAGAGAAATCACAACCAGGACCCAGGATCGGGGTGGAGGGAAAACGCAGGTGCTGGGACATGTGATGGGGGGGTTAATTGATGGTTTGTTCTGGAAGGCACTTTGGCCATAGCTGTCAAAACTAAAAATGTACACACCCCTTGATCCAGAGTTTCCTGTTTTGAAATTATCCTAAAAGCTACCCTGAGCCCACAGGGACCGTTGGAGGATAATGTCTGTCTCGGCAATGTTTGTAAGAGTGAGAAATGGAAAACAATCCAAATGGTTTATCACTACGTACATATGTGATGGTCTGTCTTTATACTGAAATATTATGCGTTCTTTAAAAAGAAGAATGTAGATCTATATGTAGTGATATGAAAAGATGTCTACTTTGTATGAAGAGAAACAGCAAACTGTAAAATCATGTGTAATATTCCATTTTTCTAGAAAATGTTTATAAATACATGAAAAGAAATTATGTATCACCTAGACAAAATTCTAGTTCTTGCTGAGTTTAAGGATTTACTAAAAGTATTTGCATAGGTCAGAATTGTCACAGTTGGGAAATCACTCTGAATTAATAAAAATCTAAATTATAGATGTAAAGGCAGTGTAGCTTTACATTTTTAAACAGCTCCCAAAAAGTTTTACTAAGTAGCTAGGCAGGGCTAAATATGTAATGAACAGCTAATGAATTGTTCTAAACAGATGAGTACCTGTTTTTGAAAATGCCCTTTTAAGTCGTTGTTTAAGTGTGTCTATTCTTATTTACTGGTAACTTTATTTCTTTTTTTCTTTTTTGGTTAACTTTATTTGCTGGTAAATTCTTTCCTTATGAGAGTTTAAATGTATATCAAATATCCATATAGTCAAAAATGCTGAAATTGGGGCGCCTGGCTGGCTTAGGTGGTGGAGCACGTGACTCGATCTTGGGGTCGTGAGTTCAAGCCCCACGTTGGGTGTGGAGCCAACTTAAAAAAAAAATGCTACAATTGCAGATCCTGAATTGCTGAGGCTTTTACTGCAATCAACCACTGGAATTTTACTAAACCTTGTGCCAGGGAGGGAATGATTTCACAATGAACCCCGGGAGATTTGGCCACTATTCAAAAGTTCTCTTCCTCATTTGTACTTCAGCGTTTTACATGCTCAAGCATAATACGATTGGGAATCTGCTGCACATAGTAAAATACTGTAAGTGTGCAGTTGGAGCTCTCTGGCCCGTTCGTTCTCCCTGGTCACATCAGGAATGGGAATGTATGCCATACGCAGCGCACCTGTCCCCGCCTCACTGCTCTTCTGAGGGGTGTCCAGCCTGCTGTTTGGGTCACTCATTGTGTGTGTGAAGGTGATGCTGTCTGCTATGGCTCATAATGATCTAAGAATGTCCAAGTGGGCAGAAGCGCCTGGTGGTGGCATTACTGGAGGCCCCCTGGTGCCGAGCAGAATTCCTGGAACCATTCTCGGCTTCCGCAGATACACAGCACAGTGCACGCACGCACCGTGCTGGTTCTGAAATCATCTCATTCCATCTTGCCCCAGTGAGGTCCGCGTTTTTCCCAATATTACAGTCAAGACCATTCAGAGGAGAGCAGTCAGGTTTCCCACGGTCACACAGCCAGGGTAGTAGAGGCAGGTTTTGAACAGGTCCCAGGGATTCTGAAACCGATACTCTTTATGGTTATTGCTGGTAAATTCTGTGGAACAAAGATATTCTTACGTAGAACGTTGATTATAGGAGAACCGGGGGTTTCTTTAACTTTCAGATTGAATTTCTGAATGCTTTAAAAACTGTTTATGTAATCAGGGGCTCCTGGGTGGCTCAGCCAGTTAAGCGTCTGCCTTCGGCCCTGGTCACGATCCCAGGGTCCTGGGATCGAGTCCTGCATCGGGCTCCTCGTTCCGCGGAGAGCCTGCTTCTCCCTCTGCTTGTGCTCTCTCACTCTCTCCCTCTGACAAATAAATAAATAAAATCTTTTAAAAAATAAAAACTATTTATGTCATCAGTGATAGACACTTTGCAGGTAAAATTAGCCAATATATTTTTCCCCCTTAAACAAAGCAGACTTGTGTAATTGTGATGTGCCTTTTTTTTAATTATTAATTTCTTGTAGGAAGTGACCAAGCTCACTCCTGGATGCTAGTCACCAGCCAAGCTTTAGGTACTGTGTGGAGAATAGCAAAGGGGTCAGTGATGTTGGCAGCTTCATGTCTGGTGGCCGCCCTCTGCTACTTCAGGAGGATGCACTGCAATTTCGGGCACTGGCTGAAATGGTAGGTGGTCAGATCAGCTTCCAGTTTCACGAAGAGACCCTTGCTGTTCAAAGTATATTTTTTATATCATTGTTCCCTTTATCTTTTAGGTGGATTGGATATCTGCAGAGAAAATTCAAAAGTAAATATTTTCATATGTTATTTCTAAGGTGCAGAGAGGGTTCAAGAAGGGTGAGGAAAGGGAAAATTAACTACCTTTTCTATTTGATTTGGTCCAGGGAACCTCAGCGTGGAGGCGGAGGTTGATCTGCTCAGTTACTGTGCGAGAGAGTGGAAAGGAGAGACACCACGTGCCAAGCTGATGAGGAAGGTGAGTCTGCTGATACAGGTCATGGATGGTACAGAATGCATGTGTGAAAATCAGGAAGCAAACGTTGCACTCTGCTTTACGAAGCCCAGAGATCCGCTAACACCAGATGTGCCATGAGGAACAATTGTGGCTCTCATGATAGAGCCAAGCAGCTGCCACACACTGGCTTTGGGCTGTCACCTAGATAGAGCGAGGGCCTTTGAGGACCTGGACGAGGACGTAAATGGGGCTGTAATTTCAGGAAATTTGAGGGGCACTCTTTTCAGCTCCTCCTGCCAGGCCTATGGCCCATCTCCACATGCAGGGGAGACTTCTGTCCTTGGAGGGATTAGGCACCTGGATGTAAAAGATTTTGAGGATTTTTAGAATTGCCCATTGGACCAGTCTTGGTAAATATTTCCAGCAGTGCTATCCAACCTTGTCAGCAGCGAGAAAGTTTTGTTGCAAGTACTTTTTAGCATGGTCTTAAATGTATATAGTATTTTTTTTTCCCCACTGTGGTCAAGTTATACCATCTTCTTCCCTAAATGACATTCCCTGGCCCTGAGCTTCCAGGAATTTATCAAATGAAAGAGCAGGACTTGGACTCACTACACACTGAAGTCACTTTAAAATGACTTGTGGTCGCATTCATAATTTAGAATTGTTTTCATTTTTGTTGTCCACTTTATTTGGGAGTCACACCTCAGTGGCAGTGCAGTGAATTCATTTTGCTTATTCTCTCATCCAGAGGAGTTGAAAACCAAATTCTTCTTTTTGTGCGGACAGGCTTACGAAGAGCTATTTTGGCGGCATCACATTAAATGTGTCCGACTAGTAAAGAGAGATAACTATGATGCTCTGAGGTCAGTGCTGTTCCAGATATTCAGCCAGGGCCTCTCCTTTCCATCCTGGATGAAAGAGAAAGACATTGTTAAGGTACGTCCACACACTGGAAACGTGGGGGAACAACGCGTCGACAAGCATTGCAGTGCAGATGGCTGGGTCTTCCGTGGGCGGCTCTGAGATGGAAGGAGCCTTCAAAGGCCCTACATACCCCGTCCGTCTCAGAGAGGCCATCCTACTCAGTCTTGTTTGTTTTTAACGTCACCATCTTTTCTCAAGAAGGGCATCTGTCCTTCATAGGCAAGGTGGTCTACTAAAATTCACTTTTTTACTCTACACTTACTCGAGTTTTGACAAACACATAGAGTGCTCCAGAGATCCCCCCTATTCCTTTATAGCCAACCCTCTCTCACTCCTAGCCCCGGGTCACCATTGATAGGTCTTACGTCCCTATCGTTTTGCCTTTTCCAGAATGTCCAATCATGGAACTATCCAGTGTGTAGCCTTTTGAATCTGACTTCTTTCATTTAGCAAAATGCATTGCCATTCATCCATGTTCTGTGAATTTGTAGTTCATTCCTTTTTATTGTTGAGTGGTCTTCCTTGACGTGAGTATGACGCAGTTTGTTTATCCGTTCATCACTTGAAGGACATCTGGATTATTTCCAGTTTTTGACAAGTACGAATAAAGCTGTTATAAATATTTCCATACAGGATTTTGTCCTTTTGGGCAAATGCCTGGGAATGAGATTGTTGGGTCATGTGGTAGGTGTAGGTCTAAGTTCATAAGAACCTGTCATCTGTTTTCCAGTGTGGCTCCGCCATTTTGCATTTGTACCAGTAATGTATAAGAGTTCCAGTTGTTCCACATTCTAACCAGGATTGATTTGGGGTTATTTGTAGCTATTTTGATAGATGTGCCCTGGTATCACTCTGCTTTTAGTTGGCATTCCCCTAGTGTGGAAGGATGAGTGTCTTTCCATGTGTTTATTTGCCATCCATGTTATCTTCTTAGAGAAGTGTCTGTTCAAGTCTTTTGCCCATTTTTATTTATTTGTTTATTTTTAAATTATTATTTTTTGTTTTATTTTATTATTGACTGAATTTTGAGAGTTCTTTATATATTCCAAGTACAAGTGCTTTATCAGATAGTAATTTGCAAATATTTTCTCCCAGTCTGTGCCTTTTTTTTTTTTTTCCATTTTAAGAGTGTAAGGTAGTACATTCTTTTTCTCTTTCTTCTTTTTTTTTTTTAAGGCAGAACATTCTTGATGAACAACCTGAATTTTTATTTTGAATGTAGGATATTTAATCTAGGATGTATATTTAAGGATGGAGGAGCAAGGAAATATAAAGTATATGTATATATATAGCTATACATGGTCTACTTCCTTACCATTTTTTAAATTACACTTGTTTTTATTAGTTTCATTTTATCTAGCAAGTACTTGTCAAGTGTGTGAGGTGTGCTAGGTCTGCTGCTACTTGCTGAGGACAGAGAATACAACCAAGCCTCTGGGCTCCCCAAGCTCAGCGGGGCAGGAAAATGGATTAGATCTCTTCACTGGATCAGAGGCTTAAGTATTCTGTAATCTTACTAAATCCCAACAAGGGTCCTGTAGAATGGGTAATATTGTCCTTGATTTATGGTGGCAGATGAGGCTAAGAGGGTAAATAATCTGCACTGGTTGAGCAGCCTCTCAGCTGGTAAGTGACAGAGTGAGGGTTGGACCCCAGAGTGCCTCATTCTAAAGCTTGTGTGCTCCCTGACGTACTATGGTATTCTAACATTGTTTGGGTAAAAATAATTTCTAAAGGGATATACCCAGGCAGTTTGGGAAGTGTTTTATGCAGAAAGATTGTTTCCATAGACATAATCTTCATGTAGGTTTTCGTCAGTTGTAAAATAGTAAATTAAAAATCCGATCCAAATCACTTAATCCACAAATCTGAAAGGAACTATATGCTTTTATTTAACTGTTGTTATCATGTTTTTAAACAGAGATTGCTAAGTGAGATAAGATCATGCACCGTGATGACGTACTCTAAATTGTGTGTCATAAATGTTGAGGTACTAATCATGGTTGGCATCTACTTCCTTTTCAAGCTTCCTGAAAAACTGCTCTTTTCACAAGGTTGTAATTGGATCCAGCAATACAGTTTTGGTCCTGAGAAGTATACAGGTTCCAATGTGTTTGGAAAATTACGTAAATGTGTGGAATTATTGAAAACACAGGTGAGTGTTTGGGAGAACAAAAGACTAAGAATGAAAGCGCACACCCCAGATGTAGCGACTCTTCTCTGTCAGGCATGTCACTTGATGCCACATAAGGAGGACACGTGGCCAGGAGCATCTCTTCTAGGAACTGACAATTGGCTTTCCTATTCTTTGTTCACCTTCCAAGTAATGAACGAGCAATGTCGTACAGACAATTAGGTCCAATATGGGTTAAGGAGACCTTTGTGGGCTCTCTGGGAAATCTTAACAATCACGTACCTGTTTCCCCTCAAAAGATGGGGTGCAAGGTGCACACAGCGCACTCAGAAATGCACTTCTGGGATGTGCCCTATTAATAACTTGGGCACAGCACAGATGCTATAATTTGAACTAAGAGTTTTTCCTGCCTTTTAATAGACGCAGATTTTGGATTGTTGAAATGGATCCTCCATGGTAAATACCATAACATTTCTGCCATAGTCTCATGTAAAACTGATATGTAAATAGTCATTGTGAGGATTCAGTGAGTTAATACATGTGGAGTGCTTTAATCTGTGCTTGGTGAGTTAGTATGAAGGAATGCTAGTTAGTACTGTTTGTCTCTGGATTATCTTCTGTGTGACCCAACTATCTTAAGATGTCTTAGGAAACTAACTTGCGTGGCATTTTACCTAGTTGGTGGTGCTTTTTTGAAAAATGTTTCATTTTAACTAGTTTGTGATTGTAAAAGTAATACATACTTGTGGTTAAAAAAATCAGGGTCAAAAGCTATAAAATGAAAAGTTTAAGTTCCCCTCTATTAATCTTTGGTTTATTTTTTAAGTACTTTGAAAAATTATGCCATGGTGTAGGAATTCACCTTTCCCCTGTTAATTTCCCTTTTACATCTGTATTTTTAGTGGACTGAATTTAGTGGAATTAAAGATTATCACAAGAGAGGAAGTATGTGCAACATCCTTTTTTCTGATGTTCTTCTGGAATATAAACTGTATGAAGCTTTAAAGTTTATCATGCTATATCAAGTCACTGAAGTTTATGAACAAATGAAGACTAACAAGGTCATTCCCAGTCTTTTTCAACTCCTGTTTTCCCGGGAAACATCATCTGACCCTTTAAGCTTCATGATGAACCACCTGAATTCTGTGGGCGACACATGTGGACTAGAGCAGGTAATGGGGGCAGAAGAATCCTGTGTGTTTGATTCAGGATGATACTGACAGTCCTTGAACACACAGGTGTTTGGAGTTTACTTTCAGCGGTGATAAAACCCACTGCAAAGAGGGTTTTATCTTAAATCCTTAAAAAGAAGGAAAAGAAGAGCAAGAAACCTCACTGCTCCGTGCTGTTTGCTGTGTGTCTGCCCAGCCCTGTGGCCAGGGGGCCCCAGTGTGAGAAGCTTTTCTAACCTTTCACTCTGCCTCTCAGATGGTGGTAGGTTCTCTCACAACAGAGTTGAACCAGGAGGAAGTCCTGTTGGAAAAATGAGATGAAGTTTGGGAAAGCACTTGGTTACTTACTAAAGATAAATAGACATTATTGAAAAATTTTAGGGGCACCTGGCAGGCTCAGTTGGAAGAGCATGCAACTCTTGATCTCAGGGTCGTGAGAGATTGGGTGTAGAGATGACTAAAAACAATAAATGAACTTTAACTTAAAAAAAATTACTGAAAAATTTTAAATCCGGGGATGCCTGGGTAGCTCATTCAGTTAAGCGGCCAACTCTTGATACCGGCTCAGGTCATGATCTCAGGGTTGTGAAATCGAGCCCCGCATCAGGCTCCATATTAGCACGGAGTCTGCTTCTCCTTCTCTCCCTGTGCTTCTCTCTCTGCTCTTCTCTCCCTGCTCATGCATGCTCTCTCTCTGTCAAATAAATAAATGAATAAAATCCTAAAAAATTTTTTTAAATCCAGAGAATGCTTTTTTATCCCCATGGTAAAGAGGTTTTGTTGTGCTTTGCTGTCTTAGGCAGTGCACAAAATTACCTGCATTTTTATAAAAAATGGATATAAAACTAGTTGGAAAACAGTGTGATTTTTTTATTCTGAGCATTCCTTTATTTTTTATTAGTTTTTTTCCCCCCCAAACAGCCTTTCCCTGTAATTTTTTCATGCTAGTCTACAAAGATGTTCCTCTGCCTTCCCCTGCCTTCCACGTCATGGGCATTTGTTCGTGTCTGTGGCCCCTCAATGGTTCATGTGTGGGTCTGTAAATAAGCACATTACTCCCTAAGCTGCAGGAGAACACGCTCCCTCTGCTGGTGGGGGACAGGGAGTTGGAAATGTGTGTTTGTGACCTCTTTTTCATCTCTTCTCCAGATCGATATGTTTATTCTTGGGTACTCCCTTGAAATAAAGATCAAAGTGTTCAGACTGTTCAAGTTTAACTCCAGAGACTTCGAGGTCTGCTACCCAGACTTGCTGCCCAGGGAGTGGCCAGAGATCTCCCTGCTGACGGAGAATGACCGCCACTACCACGTTCCCGTCTTTTGAGTCCAGTGTGGACCGGGTACCAGCTCTCGCCAATGGCAGTGGTCCTACTTTCAAGGAAGGTCCAGCTGGAAAACCAAAGCTAGCATCACAGCCATTGAAAGGCTCAGGACCTTCTTCTCTGGAGGGGCAGGTGCACTGGACGCAGGGGTGCACGGATATCCTTCGTTTTCCAGCAGTTTCCTCCAAACCAGCCTCACTAATATATTTGTGGGTTGGTGGTTTGACCTTGTTCATATGGGCTCTGGCCATTTCACATGCAGCAGGCATTTCAGGGCACAAGGACAGTAAATTTGGGCAGTACAACACCAGGAAAAAATCGAGAGGAAAAGGGGAAAAGGACTAACCAGGAAAGACTTTGTCTCTAACCTCAATGTTCTCGTTAGGAACCTTGTCTTTGACTGATTCTGGATCTTCATAAGCGTGGCCTTATTTTAGAAGCATTACCTTCCCTGGAATCTTTATGGTATATTGATTTTTCTAGAACCACTTGATTAACTGTAAAATTGTGTGTGTGGGTGTACACACATATACACGTGTATACATTGTATAGTTTTATATATACATATATGAACACATACACACAAATAATCACTACTTTGTAATGTTGTACAGTTTGTTTTATACTGCTTTACATTTTTTTGTTACTGTTGCATCTGGCTGGTCCGATTTGTTTTATATGGATAAAAGAGATTAATTCTGTAGATGAAGGCAATTGAATGACAATTATTGAACTGTTACAAAACATTGAACTGTGGTGTATTTATTTACATGTGTATTTAATGTGTGGTAGCTAGAATCACGCCACCCTAACCCCTACCATGTCTATGTCATAATCTCCAGAACCCGTGAATATGTTGGGTTAAATGGCAAAGAAGAATAATGTTGCAGGTGGAATTAAGGTACTAATCTGACCTGGAAATAGGGAGGTTATTCTGGGTTCTCCAGGTGGGCCCAGTATAATCCCCAGGGTCCTTAAAAGGGGACGAGGGAATTGGAAGAATGTCAGGGCCAAAGGGAAATGTAAAATCCAGAACGGAGAGAGACACAACATTTCTGGCTTTGAAGATGGAGGAGGGAACCATGACCGAAGGAATAGGGGTGGCCTCTGAAAGCTGAAAAGGCAAGAAAACAGAGTCTTCCCTAGAGCCTCCAGATTTTAGCCCAGGGCAATCCGTGTCAGATTGCTAGCCTACAGAACTGTAAGATAATGCATTTGTGTGGTTTAAGTCACTAGGTTTCTGGTAATGTGTTAGAACAACAATTGACAACTAACGTACTCAAGGTAACTAATTTTTGGTCATCTTTATTTTGGAAATACTTTTCTAGTTTATTTTGTTAATCTTTATTTTGAAGGTACTTTGCTGGTCTGTTTTGAATTTCAGTAAGTACAAAATAACTTTTAAAACCTTGGCCAGTGATATACTACTTCAAAGGGACAAATCCATTCTAAGAGTGATTTACTTAACATTTTTTATGCTAACGTTTTCTCCCATTTTCATACTGTTTCCACTATAAGTAAAATAAGGGACATTAAATGCTGTGGTATATAAAAATAACATCCTGATTCTTTGGTACTGAGGATAATCAGTACGTCCAATGGTACGTTGTCCTCTACCTGCTGTCATTTCGTTTTCTGGTTGAAGAGTTGGAAAGCAGTCAGCTCAGACCAAGGGGCTTTGTGTTACCTTGATAGCCCCACGAAACGGGAGTTCTTTTCTTTTTTTGAAAAAGGAGTTCTTCATTGATCTTTATAGTGCATTCCTGCTTGGAAGCGTCTATGATTTTGCATAACTCCTGTCATTTCATTGACCCTGTCGAAAGTTATCCCCATGATCTATTACTGGGACCAAGAAAAAATGAACTCCACCCTTTGTGTTCACAAGCAGACGCGATGACAGACTGCAGCAGGCTACTGTGATATTCGTGGACGGTCTGATCTAGACTTACGCTTCCAGTCGGGCTGTCCAGGCACCTACATGGCATTTGTAAATTACCACTCACCTTGCATCTCCTTACCCGATGTAATGATTTCCACATCAGCCCAGGATTGAGAGGAAGAGCTTTTCCCAGGCATGGGCAGCCTATAGCTCTGTGACCTATTAATCAATTATGTTTATCCATAACCTTGTGTTGGGGGGAGGCAGGGCAGGGTGGAGTGAGACCAAATTGTGAAAAAAAGGACATTTTGTTACAAGGAAAGTAAAAAATTAAGATCTCTAAATAGTTGCTATGTTCTGGGAAGCCATCCAAACAAGATTTTAAGGGAGGAGGTACTGGGTGTTTTTGGTCTTGTTTTGCTTTTAATTCAGTTGTGTAACGAATAACAAACTAATTGGAAGGAAGTGTATATAAATTTTGCACCACTTTTAAAGGCCAACAGTAACTTGGAGGTGAATTTCCTGTGTGATGCCAACATTTAATGTCTTTCTAACCTTATATGTTTTAAATGATGAGAAAATTATAGCAAAAATGCAAACATATGTCCTTGTCCTTTCTGATTGTTTAAAAATTTAAGCCCAATGCAGGGCTCAAACTGAGGATTGTGGATCCAGCTGAGATCAAGAGTTGGAAGCTTAACCAACTGAGCCACCTAGGCACACCCGTCTCTTTCTGATTTTAGAATACATTTCTCTCTTAAATTTTGACCATTATGTGTCCATACCGAGGGGTTGGATGAATACCAGTATGAGACTTTCTTATTGTGGCAAAATGTACATAACATAAAATTTACCATTTTAATCCTCTTTAAATGTACAGTTCAGTGATATTAAAGACATTTACACTGTTGTGTTACCATCACCAGAACGTTTTTTATCTTCAAGGCATACTTTTTTGATAGGAGGCAAGTTTAATTCCCCCGCCTGGTACTTGGACTTCTTTTACTTCTCACATTCTTTGTATCCTGGCCTTGTCATGTCAGTGTTTTCTCCAGGCTTACACGCAGAAGTCCAGTGTGAGGGAGGTTTAGGTGACCACATGGATCAGGCAGATTCTGTTCTACTTCATCTCCAAAGTAAAGAAATAATTACAGGTGGCTTCTGGTTTCGTCCTCAGAACACTATCATTTAAAAGCTCCCCAAGAAACTGTATTAATTCAGGGCCACCCTGGTGACTTGCATTTCTTGGATGTGGGCTTTCACAGTCTTGAACAAAGTCATTTCCACCCAGAGGGAAAGCCGCAGGGCTTTCCGTAGTGTGTGGGAGACCCCAGATCAAGCCAGCGTAGGATCTGCCCGGCCTCCGGGAGAGAAGAGCAGCCCGAGTCGGGGCATTCACGTTAATTTTCCAAGCATTTGCCTACAAATGAATTTTGTAGGAAAATAATTACTGTTCTATATCAGGTGGCTTTCTCATATTCTAGTGAGATCAAAGAAAAAGACCATTTTAATTCTGTCCAAGCTGATCTTGGGGAGGAAAAGAATCTGACTTCTGAGTACTCTGGAAATGCTGGGAATTCCACTTTAAAGAAGGTAAATTTTTGTGTTGATAACTAAACTGATATGTGAAAACCTATTCAAATGCAAATACAGAAATGACTAATTCAGAATTAGTGTCAGCAAGTTCCTCAGATGGTGTGATTGTTTTCCCAAGAATGTGCTTCACACTGCTTAAGACTAGTTACTGTGTAAAACATAAAAATAACAATCTGTATTTTCGTGGATTTAAAACTTAAACCGTCTACTGGGTTACTTATCATTAAGTTGACTATTGTTTCATTACCTTAGTATTGACTGTATTTAGATACACTTTTCTCCATAGACATTCAGTTTCCTTCAAATCTTATTTTCTTCACAAGGATTCTTTTATAGTCAGACACAAAATTAGGTGGGTCCAAACTGCGCAATCACTTTTATGTTATTTGTTCAAAATCATTGGGTCTTCCCTTAATGCACTTTGGTTTTAATCCTGTCCTATCCTGTAGGCTGAGAAAATGAAAGCTTATCTGGATTATGTTTATGTTTAATATCAACGTGGGTTGTAAGTAATGGAAAACCACTCACTCCCTTACCCAACAGCCCCTGGACCAAAGTGCTCTGCAGAACAGCCAGAGGTGTGTGCTGTCTGCACTTGAAGGTCATAGACCGTGTGCGGAATCGAGAGCTCTGTTGGAACAAGTGTTGCAAAGCCAGCTCTGGTGGGTGAACCACACATGGCATTTAAAGTTTCATCCTGGCTGGTGTCTCTGGAGAAATACTGTTCTCTGTTTAAAGACCAGCTTTGTGTGTGGGGGAGGTGGGGGGTGCCTGGCTGGCTCAGTCTGTAGAGCATGCAACTCTCTATCTCAGGGTCGTGAATTCAAAGCCCCACGTTGGGCATAGAGATTACCTTAAAAAACAAACAAATAAATAAATAAATAATAAAACAAAACCCAACTTCCCATATATAATTGATCTATTGGTCCTCACAGTCAATGTCATCGGGGCGTAGGTTGTTCTTTAAGTCATTTTGCTTCCATCACTTATTTGTGATGATCTTGGAAAGCTTAGTCAAGAGGAGTTCCTAAAATTAAAAAAAAAAAATACTTGCTTTAAGTATTTCCAGCTTAGTTGAGACAGGCTGTAAAACCCATCTGCACAAGGAGCTTATTTAAACCAGGAATGTGTTCCTGAGTACAGAAATATTTTTCCCATAGAAATCGCTTATTTGTAAATAAAGAATTTTTTTTTTTTTTGCTCCTAACTTATAAAGCCTCACATGGAAGATTTAGATGGAACCAAATAGAGGTCGGTGGTTAAAACAAGGTGGGAGCGTAGCATTTTACGGTTTTGTTCACCCTGAAGTTTAAAAAGGTGGAATGAGGGTCAAATCGGCAATGCGAAAATGCTATGTGGACACCGTATGGCTTTACCCCATTGCACCTTACCGTCGATCAACAAATTTATCAGGACAAACACAGAAGCCTGAGACATTCCTGGCCCCATTTCTTGTTATCACTGCCATCCCCAAGGACAAAACCTGGGAAACAGCTTGGGAACTGTTTCACGCACTGGTCAGCACGTGCACGAATTTCCTCTGGGTGCTGGCTTCTCGGCTGGACTGAGCTTCGTGGAAAGGACGTCAGGGCCAGGTGAAGAGAAGCAGCTGGTGAAAACTGACCAACAGCTGGAGCGAAGACCTGAAAGGTTGCTTGAATGTCCTGGAACTTGCAGTGTGTGATTTCAAGTAGACACATTTATGACTCCCTTAAAAAAGGAGCAGAGATGAGCTGATGAATGATGAAAATGATGTTTGTCATAAAATATTTGTATCATTGTAGCTAAATAGGAGAGGTAAATGTGTCTCTCTTATCAGAAGCAACCTTTGGCTATCATTTAACTTGCTAGATAGATTAAAGGAAAAACTCAGCCCTGGTGGATATGTGATCTACGTTTAATGCATTAGTCAGTGGTAGGTAAATGAGAAATTGTTTCCACTTGCTTTATATTTCACAAGATAATAATGGAACACTTGAATCTGCTTGTGAGACCAGTTATATTTAGTAGTTGTATTTTCGGCTGTCCCTCCTGTAGGTCTTTGCAAGTGCGGGCGAATGTAAAGATACTCTATGTAGTGTACAAGAAAGGGAAACCCTGCACAATTCTCTTTTTAGAGCAGGAAGGAAAGTGGCTTTTTCCCTTTGAAAATTGTGGCAGAGCAGTGCTTTTAAAATTATTAACGGCGAGGGACAAGTTTTTAAATTTTCCAATGCTTTGCAGACTGGCACTTTTGTAAAAATATAGTAAAAATGTTACACTGAGATCAGGTTGCTATAAAAGTTTCTCAGTTCTTCCTGTCAATGTCTGTATGTGTTACTGCAGACCGGCAACAAAGGGTTCACAGTGATGCTGGTCTGGAGAGCACACTTTAATAGCACTAACCCAGGAGTTTCAGGCAGGAATCAATAGATTCTGATGCCATTTACCTGGGAGTTTGGGATTTTGCCCAGATTTTGGGCAGTGCATTTTTGTTGTCATTTTGTGGGACTTTTTGCTGTTATTGGTCCAACCAAGACGCTGTATGGAGATGATGCCGTGTGTGCCTTGCTTGGGGCACCTCACTGAGGAGGCGAGTGGGGCCGGAATCTCCCCTCCAGGCTTTCCTAGGTTTCTACAGTCTCTTGGCAGAAAGTAGCAAGAACCTCATTTTGATTTCGGTTCCTTGTGCTAACAAAAAATCTTCATCATCACACTTTATTTCTTTACTGGATTTCAAGCTCCTGTGGGAAGGGATGTGGGTCTTGTATCATTGTGAGGAGAACAGTACTCATACAAATATCAAAGAATTCCGGATCCCAAGCTGATGAGAGCTAAGTGCAGTTGTTACTACTTAAAGAAGCAAAGACTCTCATAGTGTATTTTCCCCTGAAATTTCTTTTTATTGATTCAGGGCTTAAAGAGAGCTAGTTTTTAGACGTCCTGGGGAGAGAAGCTTCCTGAAGTTAATGATACCCTGGCATACTCATCACGTCAGTGTGACCTATGGAATGGCCACAGTAGACATTAGAGGTCAAGCCAAGTTTTGCTAACACTGTATCTCTAGTGAGGTTAAAATTAACCAAGGACACTGACTTCACCCAGAAACAGGTTTTTAAATAAATTATGGCTCCTGAAAGAATGTTTTGAAGTGGGTCATGGACTTCTTATATATATATGTATATATATACATTTTTTTTTATTATTATGTCATGGACTTCTAAAAAGGAACAGAACTTCAAGATGTCTGGGGGACACATGGGCCATGTTCCATGCCGGTGGACGAGGCCTGACCTCAGTCTGGACTCTGCCGAGTCTCTGGGGCAGGTCCCAGGTTGGGGACCACAATGTAGGGCCAGGCTGGTGTGGCTGAAGGGAAGCAAGAACATGGGCAGGCTGAACTTGCCAACCCATGGCGGGAACACTTGAGCACATCTCAGATATTTACCAAAGTCAGAAACAGAAGGACACACCCAAGGTGCACAACTGAAGTCAGGAAAAATGAGGTCCTAGAAGCTTACTACCAATACAGAGGACAATACCTTTCGGTGGCAAGGGAGACAGGAGGGCGCAGTTCAGTAACAGGGGTTTCCACCAGACTGTGTTAACCAGATACACCCATTATACCTTGGTTCCTGATGGTCTTCCCATCTGCTCTCCTTGGCCTTTGTAGGACTCATATACAGGGGATCGAAGAGGGGCACGACCTAAATTTCTGCAGTAAGGAAGAACTTTGGACAAATCTATGAATTCCAGTCCTGTGTTGGCTTTATTGTGAGTGAGAAATGGTTAGGAGCTTGAGTTGCTGTTGTATGATTAGTGGGAAATATTGCCTGAGTCTGTCTTGTTAGGAATGCAAGATATAGGTGTTCCTGACATAGTCTGGGTTCTGTTCCAGCAGTGTGGGTTGTGACGACAGAAGCCCATGTAAGTGAGTTTGGTAGGGAGAATCCCACAGAGCAACAGGGCAGGAAGGATAGCCAGTTCCAGGAAGCTGCCTGGGCCTTGGACAGCCAAGAATTAAGGTT